TTGATTGTTTGCAGATTGCTACTGAATTGCGGTGCTTCCAAGTTGTCGCGATTGGTGATGCCTGGGGCGGTTGAGGGAAGCCAGCTTTGTTACAAAGTATCCGTTTCTGCCCTGAGTCAATTGCCACCACCTGCCGGCAATTAACGTTTGCCCTACTTCCTCTTTTCTGCTGCCTGCACCTGAGGCAATGAAACTGACTGGGGTGGTGAAACTGAATAGTGATGTTGGCCGTGCCATGCCATGCTGGTGAATCTGACACTAAAGTGGACTGTAATCTACAAAAGCTTATGGGATAATACATGTGTCACAGGACTTTATTGACAATTTCCATCTAGTCTCCCACCTCCCCTTTTTGGGGAAGGTGATTGAGAAAGTAGTGTCATCACAGCTACAAAGGATTCTGGAGGAAACGGATTATCTGGACCCCTTCCAGTCAGGTTTCAGGTCCAGTTATGGAATGGAAATGGCATTGGTCACGCTTACGGATGATCTCTGGCGGGAGCGGGATGATGGAAGTGTGACCATCCTTGCTCTCCTTGATCTCTCAGCGGCTTTCAATACCATCAACCATGGTATTCTGTTGGGATGACTCAAGGAATTGGGGGTGGGCAGCACGGTATTGTGCTGGTTCACCTCCTTTCTTCAGGGCCGATCCCAATCGGTGGTGATAGGGAGCGAGAGGTCCCATCCTCGGCCCCTCCTCTGTGGGGTGCTACAGAGTTTGGTTCTCTCTCCGCTCCTTTTCAACATCTACATGAAACCGCTGGGCAAGATCATCTGCCATCATGGGATGAGATATCATCAGTATGCTGATGACACATCAAGAGATAATACATCTCCATCCCAGGTGAGGTAAGTGATGCCGTGACCACCCTTTCGCGGTACCTGGAGGCTGTAAGGGTCTGGATGGGGAACAACAGGCTTCGGCTGAACCCTGGTAAGATGGAGTGGCTGTGGGTTAATGGCTCCTCTTTATCCCAGATGTTGTTATCATTGGTGGTGGGTGGGGGGGGACCTCCCCCGACAGACCCCGTGCATAATTTTGGGGGTGTC